ACATTGAATTTCTGCTTAGAGATTGATGTGGGCAAAATGGCACCAGCTAGACCCAAGATGGCACCTAAGCCTGCTTTTTACAAACTTGTATCCAAGGTGCTATTTGTTCAGCAAGGAATGAGCTTACTTTTGTTTTCATTAATTCAAGGTGTGAGGTGATGAATGCAATGAGGTGATGCATGATTTAGTCTGATTAAATGCAATATCCATGTTATTTTGACATATATATAGGTTAGGTACTATTTCCTGGTGGAGATAATAGACATACATAACCTTCAGCACGCAGGCAAAGTGCCAATTACATTATTCTTCATACTATAATATCAAATTACCAATTAGAAAGTAACTATAAAATCATCAACAATCAGAGAACCTGAATGTTTTCTTCAATGGATTGGGAGAAATTGAATGAAATCATATGATTCTCTTACTCTCAATAACGGATTTGGGGTAGAAAATATACCTAAAATAAAACCCCCTTCTCCAACGATTTCCTCTTCTCCTATTCGATTTTCACTTCAAGGAATCCCCACCTTCGGATACACGAGCTCTTAGATGGGGATTGCGCGACCTTCTCACCTTCGGCGAGCTTTGTTTTATCACTCCATTCTGCTGCCTAACGGGATAAGGCTCCAATTGCGGAAGCCTAATTCACAAAGTGCTAATCAGACTGTGAATCGTATCAACCTCCTTCTTTGGATCCAGAATGATCGATTGTTGAGTGACAGACATCGAAGATCGGGAGGCAGGAGGAGCTCAAGTATGGCAGAGTTAACGGATGTGGGTAGTGGCCCTGAATTGAGAGTGTTCGGAAAAAACTTAAAAACTTGTCTCGCACATTAATTTTTTTTTTTTGAAAGTAAGAATTATATTAATAATGTTAATATTTATACTAAAAATATAAAAAAATGTTAAGTCAAGGAGCCGACGTGAAGAACTAAAGTGCCGTCACATTTAAATGTTTTATGAGAGATATTCAAAAATTGATATTTAAAGATATTTGTTAGTATATTTTTAAAATTTTGCATGTTTAAATTATTTTTAAAAATTAATTTTAATTTTTAAATAAAATTTTAAATTTATAAAAAAAATAAATTTATTTTTTAAATAAATAACTTTTAAATTTTACCAAACAAAGCGACTGTCTATTTTACCCTGGCATACAGCAGACGTATCCCAATCTAATGAGAAAACACCACATTAATTTTTTTCTTTGCTCGTGATTGAGAAGTGTGAAAAAAGATGTTGATATGGTGTATGTGGATTGAATCCCAGAATTACACAGCAGACTTTCTCGAACAAAACACCCCCTCTCTCTCACTCACACCTCTAACATAGCTAGTGTAGGACACAGGGACAGCAGCCTCGAAACTTTTCAAAAATGTTAAACATGGTGGTATGGGTATATCAACTTATGTTGTTTACAAAATTTTATTTTGAAGTTTAAATTATAGAGACAATTTTAAATGTAAGGAAGGTATTTAGAGACTAATGGTGTGTTTGATATTACAGTTGGAGTTTTTCTTGTATGGTTGTATAGCATTTATATATATATATATAT